AAAATAATGTGTACCCAATGAGTATCTCCTCTAATCTCGAAGAAGTAGAGACGAGAGGTCGACTTCGACACTTACTAGTGATCCAATGATAATATAGCAAAAGTGTGAGGAATTCATTCATAAAGTAAAACTAAATGCATAAAGCCAGAAAGTAGGTAAACAACTTCTCAAATAATAAAGGATTTTCAAAGATTTACTTTTCATTGTCTTTATCAATTTATCTCTGGCCAGGAAAGGCAATTATCAACATTTAAAATTCTCAGGCAAGCAATACAAGTATGCACATATCATGTCGGGGTTGTACGGCCCGATCCAACATAAATGTAAAATGTGCACTGTCGAGGGTCGAATGGCGCGAACCATAGATGCATATATTTCCCCTCTCGCGAATCATACATGTGATGCGGTCAAATTTAAATAAACGATCACCCTGCTCGCGAATCATACATGTGATGTAGGTACACATAGAAATAAATGCTCAAACAGCCAATTAAGAATTTATCGGGGAACGTTTATCCAAATAAAAGACAATTCTCTTTTAGCGATTTAAGAAAATGAAGTTTAATCCTTTTAGAAATTCATTTACTGATTCGATATGTTTTAAGCATTTTAAGCTTGTCAACAAGGTTGCAAGTATTACAAGAAAGCATATTTTTGGGCCCTAAACTAACCGGACTTAAGCATAATAGTATATACGCACGGACTCTGGTCACCTCGTGCATACGTAGTCCCCGCAAATAGGAGCACATAACCAATTAACTTACCTATGGGGGACAATTCCCTCTTACAAGGTTAGAAAGGAGACTCGCCTAGCTCCGAAATTTCCATAATCGGATTACAAGCCCTTCCAACGACTCCAATTGATGCACAATGCCCCAAAACTATTCAAACAACGGGCAAACCAATAAAAATTCACTCTAATACTTGTAACAATTCAAATTATATAAGTTCCCAACTCCGCTCGAAAAGTTGACCAAAATGCCCTCGGGCCCACATGCCCGGATTCCGAAATTTCTCGAAGATAAATTCTACCCATAGCTTTACTAACTCAAATATACAATTTGCTCTAATTTTCATGCTCAAATTCAAGGTAAAAGTCCAAAATTCCAAATTCTAGGTCTTCCCCAAAAATTCCAAATTTATAAATTTTTCATGTCTAAATCCATGTAAGATCACATATTTAACTCAAAAATAGGAAGAAATCACTTACCTAGTGTTGCTTGGTGAAAATCCCTCCTTGAGCTCTCCAAAATCGTCCAATCCAAATTAAAGAAATGGGCCAAAACTCGTGTTTAAAAAAATCTGCCCAGGCTTCATCGAGTTGTACCTTGCGCTATGCAGGTTGTACATCCTATTGCAGTTTTTCCCTGTTGTACACCTTTTGTTAAAACGCCCATAACTCCTTGTGAAAATATCCAAATGACAAACGGTTTGAAGATTTAAAAATTAGACTCGAAGATCTTTTATTTGATAGGTTGCACACCATATAACTCTTTATATATTCCGAGATATGAGCTTCTAAAGTCGGCTCCATGCATCAGAAAATTCTGTCAAAACTGCTCCACCAGCCATTTTTAATCGATCATAACTTTCTGATAAAATGTCCACATCATAAATGGTTTAATTTTCTGAAAACTAGAATACAAGGGCAACAACTTTTATGTTTTGCAAATTTTTAGATTCCTTATAAATTTCGAGATATAAGCTTCCAAATTCAGCTCCGCGATTGCACTAGTTGTTGTCAAAACAGCTTTCTGCAGAAAATTTCAGCAATGTTTTGGTCCGAAATTCATTTTGTTAACCTTCCGAAATCCACCCGAGGCCCTCAGGACCTTAACCAATTATACCAACATGTACAAAAATAATATACGAACTCGCTCGAGACCTCAAATCACATGAAACAACGTCAAAATCATGAATCGTACTCCAATCCAAACTTTATGAACTTTGAAATTTCAAATTTCTACATTCGACGTCAAAACATATCAAATCACGTCCGATTGATCTCAAATTTTGCACACAACTCACATTTGACAATACGGACCTACTCCAACTTTCGAAAATGGAATCCAACCCCGATATCAAAAAGTTAAACTCTCGGTCCAACTTCTCAAAAACCTTCAAATTTCTATCTTTAACTCCAGAATCACCATACGGAGCTACTCCCAGACTCGTAATCCCAAACGAACATCGATAACGCTGAAATGCACTTCAACCCAAACTTATGAAATTTCTTCCAAAATGCTAACTTCCACAATAGGCGCCAAAACGCCCCCGGGTCATCTAAAACCCGATACGGGCATACGCCCTAGTCCGAAATCATCATACGAACCTACTGGAACCTTCAGATCCCGATTCTGAGATCGTTTACTCTGGAATCCAATCTTAGTCAATTCTTTCTACTTAAAGCTTCCGAAATGAGAATTCCCTTTCCAAATCAACTTCGAATTCCTCGGAATTCAATTTCGACCATGCGTACAAGTCACAATACCTGAAGTGAAGCTGCTCATGGCCTCAAACTGCTGAACGACACGCTAGAGCTCAAAATAACCGGTCGGGTTGTTACAGCACCTTCGCTCCCTTCGCCGCTTCTGCGGCGCCGCAGGTATCAGTAAACAGATTTTTGTAGCAACACAACAAGGTTCAAAAATGATCCGTAACTTGTCCGAAATGCACTAGGGCCCTCAGGAAATCCCAAAACATAATGTGGACCTACTTGAGGCCTTAAATCACACTAAACAATATCGAAACTATGAATCGCACCTCGATTCAAGTCTAATGAACTTCCAACTTCTTAAACTAATGCCGAAACATACCAAAGCAAATTCCAAATGAGCTCAAATTTTGCATGCAAGTCACAAATGACACAGCGGAGCTATACCAACTCCCGGAATCACAATTCGAAAATGATATTAATACAGTCAATTCTCGGTCAAACCTCTCAACCTTCCAAACCTTCAACTTTCCAACTTTCGTCAAAATGAATTAAATCAACCTACGGACCTCCAAATCCAAATTCGAACATATGTTTATGTCCAAAATTACCATACGAAGCTATTGGAATCCTCAAAATACCATTGTGGAGTCGTCTACACAAAAGTCAAATTCCGATCAACTCTTACCACTTAAGCTTCTGAAACAACAATCATTCTTTCAAATCATTCCTGAATCACCCCAAAACCGAATCCAACCACATACACAAGTTATAATATACAATACGAAGCTACTCGAGACCTTAAGCCAACGAATAGGACGCTAATTCTTAAAATGGCTAGTCGGGCCGTTACACCAATCCCAACCCTGAACCCCATTCCTGACCCTGACTCTGAACCTCGACACCAAACTCAGACTCGAATCCGACCTTGCTCGGCAATCCTGAGACACAATCTTGACCCTAACCTCGAGCCCCTATATGATCTGGACACCGACCCCTGACCTTGACCCTGGATCCAAACCCCCAGCACCTTGCTCCTCTCCCCACCCCTTCCTTACCTATTTCATCTCCCATAGTATTTACCTATGTTATAATTTTTCAAAAAATATTTTATGCTAACTAATAACCAATAATCATAAATTATGTGAGAAAATTACTAAAGATATTAAAAATTTCCCTTCGTACTAAACACACCAAAGGAGATAAACCTCAAATTATACATACTCGAATTACTTATCCCTGCTCTCAGACTACTAGTAAACTGCTTAAACCCGTACAGAAATACCGACCGAAATCGGTCGAAAATCTGGAAAAACCGCGATTTTCGACCGAGTTTAATCTGTCGAAAATAAGTTGGTCGGTAAGAAATAGCGACTGAAGTTGGTCGCAATTTCTGACCAATTTTCGGTCGGCAAATTAATTCTCACACCAAAAAAAAAATTGCCGAGGTATTTTTCAACTAAATTCGGTCGATTTTTTTTAATTATACAATTAAAAAATGCACCATCTGGGACTCGAACCATGGTCTGTACTGTAGCGGAATACTATTCTACCACTGACTATTGGTACATTTTGATTTAGGACTTTCTTTTAATTAATTTGTACTTCTTCATTTTATTTTCGCGCGAATATAACCGACCAATTCGGTCGGTTTTTTAATATTAGTTTTAATTTATTTTATATGAAAATCAACCGATTTCGGTCGATTTCTTAAAAAATAAATTTTGCGGGATGCAAAAATAGTTTCCCGCTTTTTTGCGTTAAAAAATCGACCGAAGTTGATCAGTTTCGTAAAAAAGTTAAAAAATAAAATATTTTGAAAAGTCGACCGGCTTTGGTAGGTTTTTTTACCAACCGACTTCGATCGATTTATCGGTCGGTTTTTTGACCGACCGAAGTCGGACAGTTGGCCGATTTTCGCCAAATTTCTAGTAGTGTCATCCGACCTATTCGATACCATCAAGATAATTATTTCATAAGCAAAACTACGTAATTCTTGCGTTTATCTCTATCATATCCCACTAACTTCTCTCTACCAAAGGTAATATGTGAAATATTTGGCAATCATTATTTTCCTAGAGCACATCTATTTAGGAATCTTTTCAACTTCAACAAGCTGTAGTTGTCAACCCGCAAGTTATTTGAAGATTAATCTCACCTACAAGCAAGTAAGATCGAGTAGGGGATGTTGAGTCAAAAGATACATCAATAGCAGAAAGAAAAGCAGCTACATCATGCACACACGTAACTCCTATTATTCATTTTAGCTTAAAAGAATATTATTCTTGTTAACCAAAATACCTAATTAAACAAGAAAATTAAGATATAGTCATATAGAAATCATTAACTATCCGAAATATATATGAGTCTCATGTTCTCGTCTGTAATGATTAAAGATTGTACTTCGTTTTCAATTCGTTGATGGTAAAGAGAAGAATGTATTTATCCAACACTACAAGAAAGGTAATGTTCATCACATGACTGCAACTGTTCGGTTTATTAGAAGGCTTAAGCCTATAAATATATATTCTATGGATTAATTAACATCATCAACTAATTAAGAGTACACCCCTTAATTTTCTCTCTCTCTCATAAAAATGTTGAGGTTTAGCGTAAATCTCTTGAAGTTAGTCATTTTGCTGTTTTTACTAATCTGTTGTTTGGAGAGTGCAATATGCAATGAGAATTCTTCTGTCTTTAATGTATTAGACTATGGTGCTAAAGGTGACGGTACCACAGATGACACCAAAGTAAGATGATCTATAATATAGTATTTCATAAAATTGAAGTATATGATTATCTCATATAAAATATAAAATTTTAAGTCGTTAGGAATGCTAATATTTAATTATTTAATTATGTCTTTAACACGTGTTATGCAAGCTTGGTTGTTTATTGTAGTAAATTGCGTGAAATTTTTTAAGAGTTTAAATTCTATGCTTTGACGTCATAAAATATATTTACACAAGTATGACACTTAAAATATAATTTCATGTAATTGTACTTATTCGTGTTGACTATTAACCTAAAATATATGATAGTAATGTTTTATAACAGGTTAAATTATATTGATTGTGTAAAAAACCATACAAGATAGTCTATATAACTTAAATTTTTTTAATAATAAGTGGCAATGAGACTTTGAGCTGCTTTGATATCATATTGAAGTGTTCGGACATATTTTATCTAAAAGTAATTATTAGAGACTATATTTTGGTATTACTTGATTATATCTTCAACGGGCAATGATAAACTTATTAAAATCTTGAAAACTAAAACCCTAGGAATAAATTATTTCATTTTTATACATTCCCTGGGTACCAAAAAAAAAATTAAAAAGGAGTTAAATTACGTAAGCATGAATAAAGTATAATGTTTTCTTTTTAATCATGCCAACAAAATTGTTTACAATAAAACCTGACCAACTAATTTCACAACCGGTACATGACTGTAGCGTTTTCTGCATTACATGTCTCTTCCTCATACTTATTTCTATAACTTTTTCTTCGACATGGTTACTTAACAATTGTTGACAGACAATTGAAGCGGCATGGATAGAAGCTTGCAAAGTTGAAGGATCAACTATAGTGGTTCCATCAGATTATGATTTCCTAGTTGGACCCATCTCTTTTTCAGGACCACATTGCGAAGAAAACATTGTTTTCCTGGTAAATAATTTCAACCCATTTTAAATTAAGTTTAAATTATTGAAGTATGTGACAATCTCATTTAAAAGCTTAAGATAATTAAAGTGAGAGAGCACATCTTTATTTATATCCCAACACGTCCCCTCATGTGTAAGCTTAATTCTTTTTCATGAGATTTTTCTTTTAAATTTGAACTACATCTGTCCACTCTGTAATCATGTTGAAGTGTAAAAAAAATATACTTTTATTTACTTAAGTTTGCCTCTAACACAAATTATTCTTTCGAGATAACACATTGAGATTGGCGATATGTACCATAGATCTATATTTGTCTTATATCTTCTCTTTTTCTTTTGGAACAGTTGGATGGGAGAATTATAGCACCAACAAACCCTAAAATTTGGGGTTCAGGGCTATTACAATGGCTTGAATTCAAAAAGCTAAATGGAATATCTATCAAAGGAAAAGGAACTATTGATGGTCAAGGCTCAGTTTGGTGGCAAAACACTCATTTAGAAGATCCTGATGATGATCCAAATTATACTACGCTATTTGCTTTGGTAATCACTACTTCCCCCTGTTTCAATTTAGATTACTTACTTTTTTATTAGTTCGTTACAAAAAGAATAATATATTTCTACAATTTGAAATAATTAAATTTTAAATTCTTTATTTTACTCATTTTACCTTTTATAAAAAATTGTTATAACCACATAAATATCATGGTTCCAAAATTTTTGCCGTTTAAGCTTTTAAGACCATAAATTATAAAAAATTTATTTTTTTTCTTTAACTTCGTACCGAATCAAACTATTTCTATTATAATTGAAACGGACGGAGTATTACTTTCTCTATTCCTTTTCTTTCCTTTTTGGGGTTTGAGAAAAGGTTAGAATTTATACATCGATCAGTGCACTTTTGGATAGAGAAAGTAATACTTCATCCGTTTCAATTATAATAGAAATACTTTGACTCGATACGGAGTTAAAGAAAAAAAATAAAAATTTTATTAGTAGTTTAAATTTTAAATTCTTTATTTTACCCATTTTATCTTTTATAAAAAACTGTTATAACCACATAAATATCATGGCTCCAAAGTTTTTGCCCTTTAAGCTTTTAAGACCACAAGTTATAAAAATTTTATTTTTATTCTTTAACTCCGTACCGAGTCAAACTATTTCTATTATAATTGAAACGGATGGAGTATTACTTTCTCTATCCAAAAGTGCACTGATGTATAAATTCTAACCTTTTCTCAAACCCCAAAAAGGAAAGAAAAGGGATAGGTTCAGCAACTGTCACTTTTTATTGCTTAATTGCCTTTAATTGTGCTTGGACAGACAAGTAGCACAGCAAAAGGAAAAATGCCCAGAACCAGACCAACAGTGAGTTCCTTCTGCAAAATTACATAGAGTTTAAGTTATATATTACACCATCACCGTAAAGAATTTTTTTTATCATCGGGTCATATTTACCTTTACAGCAGGCAGGAATTCTGTCTTATTTCAAGATTACAAATCTCACGTTTTAAGAATATTTACCTTTAAATATCTTTTGAATGACCTGATATAATATAAAAATTCTTTGCACTGACGATGTGTATAACTTAAATCATCAATTACATATACATGTACCAAATCATTCGACAAAAAGTAGTAGGCTCATTAAAGTTCCTTAAGTGGATTTTTCATTTTGTGCAGGCTCTGAGGTTTTATGGGTGTTCTAATGTGGTAGTAACAGGCATAACAATCCAAAACAGCCCTAAAGCACATCTAAAGTTTGATAGTTGTGTGACTATTCAAGTTTCTGGTATCACAATTTCATCACCAGAAGATAGCCCCAATACAGATGGAATTCACCTTCAGAACTCCCAAAATGTTGTTATCCATAGCAGTGATCTTGATTGTGGTAATATTTTAGTCTATATGTTTTAATAATGGTACCTTTTTACGCATGATTGTTTTTCTTTTATAAACACAAATGAAAGGGACCCCTTCATAACAAGAACAATAATATAAGAGTTTAAGTCAATGTATTGACTGGGGACATCAATATCTACATAATCATGCCTTGATGTATAAAGTAATTACATGTAAATTTCTATGGTAAACGTGAACTGTTAAATATCTTATAAAAAAAAGTAATAACATGCTATAGTAGGTTAAAATATATTGATCATGTAAGAACTTTTTATAATATGCGTCAATAGCTTACATTCATAATATAAAATGATACATGCCGAAACCGAAGGAAAACAAAAGGAATTAAGTTATATACACGTTTTTATATTACTCCCTACATGTTTTTTGCCGTTTAAATTTGTTGGAACCTTTTTGGTACGAAAGTTAAATTGACTAATTTTTTATGTAAATTCAGATATAGTTTTTTTAAGCTTTTTAAAATAAAAGTTACATACGTAGAAACTATAACAAAAGTATTATAAGTCACAATAGTTAATAATTCAAAATATTTAAATACTATTTGCAAAAAATATAGTCAAATAAAACCTTGTTTAACTCCCAAAATATTTAATAATTCATTTCTTTTTAAACAGAGGGACTATATAAGTGGAGTTTACCTTGTAATAGCAGGTTAAATATAATACTATTTCTTATCAGGTTAACCATACACATTTTGCAGGAGATGATTGCATCTCTATTCAAACTGGAACTTCAGCTGTGTTCATTCATGATGTGAAGTGTGGACCTGGACATGGATTTAGCATAGGAGGGCTGGGAAATGACAACACCAAAGCCTGTGTCTCCAACATAACAGTTCGTGATTCCACACTACACAATACTTTGACTGGTGTACGAATCAAAACATGGCAGGTAAACACTAAAACTAAAGAGTTTAACTTCTACTTACTAAAAGAATTATTCTATTACATTGATACTGAAAAATTATTTTTTTGTTGATGATGTATACATGGAGAATAAGTTAAACCAAAACTAAAAATCCATTCCGGGTGATGATTTTTTGTGAGAAAATATTACAAAGCATGTTTAGCCAAGCTTCTTAGAAGCCAAAAGTGCTTATTTTAGATAGTTGAAATATTTGGTCAAACTTTTTGAAAAAAAAAAGTACTTTTGAGTAATAGCAGAAGCTACTTTTCAGAAGTTAATAAAAGTAGCTTCTTCCCGAAAGTACTTTTTGAAATATTGACCAAGCATAGATTGCTCCTCTAATATTATCAAAAGTGCTTTTCAAATTGCTTAATCAAACACAAACTGTTATTCTCTAAAAGTACTTTTGTAGAGAAACACTTTTAACAAAAATTACTTTTAAAAATAAATAGATTTTGAAAGTTCGGTCAAAAATGCTAGTAAATGTTACTCATTCAAATAAACTACAAAGTTGCTATTAGGCTGTCCTTTGAACGGATCCATAACTTAAATTAGATGGATTCTATCTATATGGTTCTTAGCACTTAGTTCATCATACTTTTAAAATTATGAATTTAGAATTTAATATTTGTGAATATATATAACAAATACTAGGTTCTGCTGAACGCACAGACAATATATTCCATTTGCTTCTGCTGCCCAATAAAAAAACAGAAGCTTTTTGGATTTTACTTCCAAAAAGCTTTCATGGTAACTAATTAAGTCTCTATAATTTGTTTGAAACTCCAGGGAGGCTCAGGTTCAGTTCAAGGGATCATGTTTTCGAATATCCAAGTTTCAGATGTGGAAACACCAATAATAATTGATCAATTCTATTGTGATAAAAGCAAATGCAAGAATCAGACATCAGCAGTGGCCATCGCAGGGGTTTCATATCAATCAATAAAAGGAACATATTCATATGAACCACTTCATTTTGCATGCAGTGATTCTGTGCCATGCACTGGTGTTTCCCTTGCAGACATACAGCTTAAACCTTCACCAAAAAGGGAACATTTTTATGGACCTTATTGTTGGCAAACTTATGGAGAATTGAAAACAAAGACAACCCCTCCAATTGATTGTATACAACCTGATCAAGACACCCCTGATTATGATTCTTGTTGATTTTCCTAGAGATTAATAAATAATTGGAAGGATTGTTCTCTCGTTCAGTTGCAAGGGCAGATGGGTTCAACCGAAACTAGTAGCTTTAGCCAAAACCCTATATATGTATTAAGAAATCTACTAAATATGAACAAATATTAAATTTTAAAACCCAATAACTCAAATAGTCAGTAGGTTCAATTAGCATCCTGAACCTATAAAGTTCAAATCCCGAATCTGCTATTAGTACTAGGACTAGGATATTGATGTACAAAATCCAGCTTTCTATATATATATATATATATAGTATTGCAAGATGATTCAAAATTTAAAAGGTGTGACAAACTTATCAATTACACCGTATGTTCTCATCGATAGGTTTCTACTTGGTTGGAGCAAACTCTTGCAGTACTTTAATTTCTTCCATTTAACCAAGTGAATTAGCATAAGTAATTGTAGAGCTGACTTGAGTGTCTCTTCATTATTCCAAGAAAAAAATGAAAAGGAATTGAAAAGTGTCTATGAAATAAGAAATATCACAGCATTTTCTAGATTGAGCAACGTTTCAAGTTTTTTTTATGATGGTGGTGTCCGGGCCAGCTTGCATGCACCTCGATCGAGTAACTGCTTCCTTCCACCAACACTGATACCAGGTAACTACTCACTAAGGCTTGGACAGATGAAAAGAAATCACCTAGTATTTTTTCTCCATTGAAACTTGAACCAGAGATTTCACGGTTCTCCCAAATCATTAGGTCACACTCTTGGGTGCGAGCAACAATTTAAATTAAAGTCGGTAGCTAGTAAATGTGACTGGAGAAACTCTGTTCCTTCTGAATCTTTTGTTGTCTGCTTACATTCTTGACATGAATGTCATTTGTAATTTGTATGCAGTGGTGACCATAGTGTCTGATCTACTACTGAAGATACAATTATACAATGTAGTATACTGAAGACAGAATGTAGTACAAAATAATTGTTACAGAACGAATTTATTGTGCTCCTGCCTTGTCTTCAAGTGTATGAACATTAGAATAGGATCAATACTATAGGTCACTTGTATAATTTGGCAGAGAAAATGAGCAATTAAATGAGTGACATGCCTCATTCTGGGTAATTAAGGCTGCTCTAATACGACTAAAATTGCAATTATTGGGTAAATCATTCTACTTTTCATCTAAAATTGGAGACAACTGATCTTTCTTCAAGACACCTACCTATAATCAAAAGGCGTGTTTTGGCCTAATGGAACTAGTTTGACTGCGCAAATATTGCAACATAACAAGCTACAGTAAAGCCTGGAGCTAATTGTGAACAGAGAATGATGAGGAAGAAATGCCTCAGAAAAACCCATCTTTTGAAACCTATGTGTTACTACTACTTCCTTCCCAAAAAAGGATTAGCAACGAAAATATTAAGTATCAGTGGTACGGGACTGATATGAAATCATCTAACTAAGAGGCCTAGACTATGGCCACTAGGCAATGCTTTAGACCTTCATACAGAAGAGCAAACCGAAGAAGAAAAAAATAGAGACTCATCCTCTGCCATGAGCTTGAATCTGAACTTGAAAGTAGCTAATACCTCTAGACGGATTCAAGATTGTGGCCAAAAGATGGTTCTCTCTCATTTCTAGTCTCGCTCTCTATGTACTAGTAGTTAGAAAGTTGTCACAACAGCTATGATAGCTAGAGAAGAAACTTTTCCTTGGGGCTCTTCATACCTCATCTCTGTAGCATATACTTCATATATATAGATAGTCTAGAAACATGTTGATCTTTGAATGTCGTTATAGAAAAAAGGGTTGGCAGGGGTGATGTTGATCCATAAACAAAAGCTTTTATGAATAAGAGTGTCATTCTATTTTTCTTCTGCATATGGCAGGACACGAGGAGTTCATTCGTGTATCAATAAGAAACTGAACCAACTCCAAGCCAAGATGCTTTTTAACATGGATTTAAGTTATATACACTGATAGTGTAACAAATTTTTACACTAACAATACGAAGGCACATCTCATGACCAAACCCTTTTAGCTTCCCTTTGATGTATATTAATTACATACATGAAAAATCAGTCTTAGACCATTAATATGTTAGTGGGACGCGGGCTTTTCTAAACGTAGAAGGTACTTCCTTCTATCTTTTGTATCGATAGTTTAAGAATTTAGAATTACAGAAAAATAGTTAATGCGTTTTTAGTTTTTTAAACAAAGTATATATTTTAGATTAAATTTTGTTGGCTGAAGAGGCAGATAAAAAGGACAGGAGGGAGTATAATACACATATCAACTGCAGAGTATACTCATCAATAAAGTATATCCTAATCTAGGTTGCAGTATTTTGTCGATCGTGCAAGAGTTTCAAAAGCAGTAGGACGCAACTAGTGATTGCCTTTAAGGCATCTTAAGGAATTTATAGGCAGCCCTACCAGCAAAAGGGTTCACATCAAAATTTACAAAAAAGGATTTCTGAGTCCGTGTCAACCCAAGAGTAGGAACTCCAAACTCTCAAAAGTTTTCATAAAGTTCTGGCAGCATTCTGGGAACAGTCTACAATTAAAAAAAAAATGAATCTCCGTAATTCATCACACTTAAAGAAAAAAATGATATATGCAGTACACTTATCTGTCATTGAGCCGTCCATATAATTCTCAATCGCTGATATCTGAATGAAGCATAGCGGTATTCCACAAACACAGGGAGTCGGTGCCTGCAGCATCTTTAATTGTCTTCGAAACTTTCCAAATGTCGAAGCACACGTCAAACTTTAACTTCACAACATCAGAACAAGAGGATAAACGATCCCAAGAAGATATTGTTCAATTAGTTTGATGAAGAGTCGATTGGGGCGATCACTTAGCGCACTCCCAATTTAGGACATCCGGCTGCAAGAGGCAAGTCCAAGTTCTCTACAGTCCTGAATGTCCTAGGAACCATCTTGTCAACATAAAGAGTTCCGTCTAGGTGGTCATATTCATGCTGCAAAATGCGAGCCTGCCATCCTGAAGCATCAACTTTGATTGCTTTTCCATTTCGGTCAAATCCTCCAACCTCTACTTCTAGGTGTCTTTCCACAACTGCTCTGAACCCATCAACGCTACAAGGAAAGGAAAGAATTCACTTATACCTCTGGTTATTAACTTGATAGGACATCTAGCAATTATATCATGTTTTGACCAATATAATATATCACTCTAAAAGCTCATAACACCCTGTCAAGGAGAACTTCAGATTCTTTTGACAGTTTGAACCTCCACATCATAGCACTGTTAAACTGCTTTGCAGTTTGCTAGGAGTTTTGCTAATAAACATTTTACAATTATAAAAGCTAAAAAGAAAAGCACTTATTTCCTGTTTACTATTTACAAAAAGTGTTCAAGCAAAGTAATGAAACTCATGACAATGTAAATCAACAAAGCTCTCCTTCACATGCCATCTCTTCAATAGGCGAAGTGAAATCTTCACCTCAAGGCACATTTACTTGCACAGTAAAAGAGCATATCTCTAGATTGGTAGTTCATTAAGAGTAAATGACGTGATTATCAGAACATAAACGTCAAGTAAACCTTGGTGATTGCCTCCACTGAAAACAAAAAAGTGCTAATTCCTGATAATTGTCGAGAAAATATTGCCTCTTGTTCCTTCTTTAAATTTCATAAGCCTTTGTTTCACATTTTTGAAGTGATGATAAATTCTGCTAGTTTATTACAGATAAACAAACAACTATTTTCCGCTTATGTGCTGTTAATGCATGTCATTTTCTGGATACTTTCCTAGGATATATTGATACTAAAGGAGTTTTAAGACTGCATAGTGCATATATAGCTGTCTTTCCGCAGAAGTGCCCCAGGCCAAGTAATTTGTACCACGCAGCATGCCTCTATGCCTGATATGGTCCTAAATCAATAAACTACTGCATTGTAGAGTTCAAATGTAAAAGACTTGAAGTTAGACTAGTTGCTTCTCTTACCTCAAGCACCCCTCAAAAAACAATGCAGTTTTATTGCCTTTCTTTTTAAGCTTTGGATTTATAATAACCTGCAAGAAAAGAAGAAAAATGAATGCATGGCATAAAACTTGGGCCTCCTATTTATCAAGATGATAAATATAAATGTTCACACACCAAGAGATCAAATGGGCGTCTGTCCTGTGCTTTGGTTTCATCTTTAGGAGCATAGCTTATATACTCATTTGTGTCTTCCAGCACAATCATCTGTCACTTGCAAGACAATCAAACTCAGCGACGGAAAACAATACTATGGAGAAACTAAGATTTTATTCAACAAACCTTTAAAGGAATACCAATTTGAGGAGCGGCAAGACCAACCCCGGGTGCATTTCTCATAACTTTCACCATCTCATCTATGATCTTTTGGATCCGTTCTGATCCAATCTCCCCAAGAGGAACGTCCTGAGCAGGCTCATGAAGAACAGGGTCACCAGCTTTCATGATATCAGGCAAGACTTGCTTTTTTTTCTCTCCCATACCAAGAAACCAACCAGCTCGAGCAGTGGTAGAACTGTAATTTTTCACAGATACTAAATCAGTGCATAAAGAAGGTCTACCTTGAAGATTCCATTGTATGAATACTGGTTTCTGGGAGTCGTGGATTTGCATTAAGTAGGAGGTCAGAGGCCTTGATTTCTTACAAGATTTCAAGTATTTTGGGGTGAATGGCACAGAAAGAACACGCTGTGCTAATCGCGGAATGCTCTCCATTACTAAATTCAGATCCCACCACCCCAATAACACTGGTCAGAATATCCCGGAGTATGCACGTGCCTGCTGCACACAGTTTTTGTTCAAGAAAATCAGATGAATTGGCAGTAATTTCATGTCAGCAATATAATGGACCATACTGCCAGAGAACAACATTAAACAAAGCGCAATTTCAACAAAAATTGAATCTCCGGTGGTCACATAACAATTTATCGAACTCTTACAGATAAAATATGATACCTAGGAGCTACTATCTCCTCAGATTCTTGTGAATACAGCTAGATCAAACAGATCGAAATGTATGATTAATACTAGTTAGTTTGGCTATAATTGTTTGATGTGTGTTTGTGACTTAGCTTTAGAAAAATGCAGCAGTGTAAATTGATAACATTGGCCAAGAGAATACAACAAGAGATGTAAATAACTGATAGTAATGCATTATGAAAAGATGCCAAGTTTTCCAGGTAAACCATATATTTTCATTCAAATAATCAGAAGGTGCAGAATCTAAAGTTAAATTCAGACTCGTGGCAGTTCTTATCTCAGGTGGCTTGTATATCAATCGAAGATCTTTGGTTGAATTAAAAAATCCCTAGTTTGAGGCAAGATTCAAGAAACAATATAGTGCAGTGCAGCAATGCAGGGGCACACTGAAAGAATTCAGCCATTCACTTCAATGGCAGAAAAGCAAGAAAAACAGAAAGTTCAGAAGTTTAAACAACTAAAAAGGCCCCCCTTTCTTGCGCTACTAACAATTTGCTTGATTTCTTTCTTTGTTGGTAATGTAGGAGGGGATTTCAATGGCCACATCGGAACGACTGCTGGGGATATGGCAAGATGCATGGCGGCTTCGGTTTTGGGGATAGAAACGGAGGAGGAACTTCACTGTTGGATTTTGCTAAAGCTTTTGATTTGGTGATTAGAAACGGAGGAGGAACTTCACTGTTTGATTTTGCTAAAGCTTTTTTTTTTTTTTTGAAATGGTAATATATTTGTATTGAATAAGTAAATGGTTACACTAAAAGTGTAACCTTCTGATAGTTACAATGGGGTAGCCAGAAGAGAGACCTAAAATTCTATTAGACTCACAGTTGGTCTAAAACATAAAAAATTAACTCATTCTCTTCTAGACATTCTTGTTTACACCAAAAATAAAAGAGCATTAGACAGCTCATCTTTAGTTTTTGAATTGAGCTATGATTGTCCTCGAAGCATCTCTGATTCCTTTCTTTCCATACTGTCCACCATATGCAGGCTGGGACAATCTTCCATCTCTCCTTCTGACTGGATTGTTCCCCATCTCTTTTCCAACTGGTTAGGAATTCCTTGATTCTCCTTGGCATCACCCATCGGATCCCCCTCAGGTTGATGAAAATCTTCCACAGTTGGTCAATGACACTATAGTGCAAAAAAAGATGGTTGACTGTCTCCTCCTAAGCTTCACATAGGTGGCATCTGGACCACAGCTGATAACTTCTCTTAGTGAGATTATCTTGTGTCAGTACTGCTTCTCTTGCTAATAACCACGTAAAACATGCAACTTTGTAGGGAATTCTTACTTTCCAGATCATCTTCCATGACCAACAATCATTCTGGCTGTTAGACTGGTTAAATATCTTATAGGCAGATTTTACAGAGTACTTGCCCTCTTTTCCTCCTTGCCAGATCACCCTATCCTCAGAGTTAGATGTCCCTTTGAAATGTTCTAAAGTGTTATAAAATTCTGTCACCCTTCGAATTTCCCAATCATTCAGGAGTCTTCTGAAGGTGAGATTCCACCCTTGGCCTGTCCATAACTCTCCCACATGTGAAGCTTGCTGTTGATTGAGGTTGTAGATGCCTGGGAATAGCTGCTTCAGGGTTCTTTGTCCTAACCATTTGTCTTCCCGGAAAGAAATCTTCATTCCATTGCCTACTTTGAGCCTAAATTTATTGTAGAATTTTGGCCATTGATTCTGATAGATCTCCACAGGCTAACCCCATAGGAATTGTTCACAGTTTTGGTTGTTCAGCTGCCTTCCTTTCCATACCTTACTTCTATCACATTTTTCCACAACGATTGTTCTGTTGTGGCAAACCTCCATAGCCACTTCATCATCAGGCTTTGGTTTTGGATCTTCAGATTCCTAATCCCCGTACCCCCTTCTTTTTTGCTTGTTGTGAGAGTATCCCATCTGACTAGGTGAATCTTGCTCTTTTCACTGGCTCCTTGCCACAGGAAGTTTCTTCTCAATGTATCAAGTCTTTTTGCTACTTACAGGCATAGGGAAAAGGGACATCATATAAGTTGGCATAGCATCCAGAACACTGTTGACTAGTGTAAGTCTCCCTCCCAGTGATAAATAATGGCTTTTCCAGCTGACTAACTTCTTTTCACACTTCTCAATTACACCATTCCAAATTCCTTTAGACTTGCTTTTTACCCCAAGTGGCATTCCCAGGTAAACTGTTGGTAGAGCTCCTACTTTCCCTCCCAAAATATCCACCAAGCTATGAATCTCCATTACTACATTACCTGGATAGATAAAGCTCTTGTTCCAGTTAATATGTAATCCAGAAACAGCTTCAAAAAGGATGAATATCACTATCAAAAATAGCACCTGGTCTCTATCAGCATCACAGAACACTAGAGTGTCATCTGCATATTGTAGATGGGACACTTCCATAGAATCTGGAATTCTTGGGTTCACTTTGAAGCCCTTAATCCAACTGTTGACTTTGGCAGATTTAAACAGACTATTTAAACCTTCCATAGCGAAAATGAATAAGAATGGGATATAGGGTCCCCCTGCCTCAAACCTCTCTGTGAAGAAAAAAATCCAACAGGTGATCCATTTATCAAAACTAAGAATTTGATAGAGCTTATGCAAGCCTTGATCCATCTGACCCATCTCTCATCAAAGCCCATCTTCAGCACGACTCCCAGCAGAAACTCCCAATTCAAATGGTCATAAGCCTTTTCTATATCCAGCTTGCACAATATACCTGGTTCTTTGCTCTTCATTCTGACATTAACACACTCGTTTGCAATCAACACAGCATTCATGATTTGCCTTCCTTTGATAAAGGTTATATGTTGAGTGTCCACCAATTTTCCAATGACTTTTTTGAGTCTTTCTACTAGTATCTTTGATATAATTTTGTAGAAGCTCCCTATCAAGCTAATAGGTCTGAAATTTTACAATTCTTTGGCTCCCACTTTCTTTGGAATCAGAGCCACCAAAGTTGCATTAAAGCTCTTTTCAAAAGTCCCATTTTCATGAAAGTGTTGGACTGTTGCAATCACATCTAGGCCTATCACATCCCAGCATTGGATGTAGAATGCCATGGTATAGCCATCTGGACCTGGGGCTTTGTCCCCTGCACATGCTTTAACACTCTCCCATACTTCTTGTGGTTCAATTGGGCTTAGTAGCATCTGGTTCTCTTCTGTGTTGATGGTGGGACAGTCCCTTAGATTGCATTGTGGTCTCCACTCCTCAGTCTCTGAGTATAGGTGTTGGTAGTAGGCCAGGATCTCTCTTTTAATATCTGCAGGGTTCTCCACTGTTTCTCCATTCACTAGTAACTTGTCAATGTTGTTACATCTCTTGTGTGAATTAGCAGTTCTATGAAAGAACTTGGTGTTTCTATCCCCTTCATTCAACCAAACTGCTCTAGATCTTTGTCTTCATGCTATCTCTTCCTTCCTGGCATTTTCCTCAAATTTTATCAATAAGGTGGCTTTTTTAAGTTTTTCTTCTTCATTCAGAGACCTCAAATCTTGTGTCTCTTCCAGTTCAACTAGTTGACCCAACAATTCTAGTCTCTGCATCTTAAAATTGCCTTGAGTTAGTTTGCTCCACTCTTTGAGTTTCCCCTTCAAAGCTTTCATCTTGAAGGCTAGGATAAAGTCAGGTCGACCTTCATAGTAAAAGGACTTTCACCAGCTTTTAATTTTTTCACTAAATCCTTCTGTCAACAACCACCAGTTTTCAAACTTGAAATAGGACTTGACTGGTTCCCAATTCCCGCTTTGGAGTAACAGGGGGGAGTGGTCTGATGTAACTCTGTGAAGGATTGACTGGTTAATTCCGCCGAACCCTACATCCCATTCTTCTGATACTAGGAATCTATCCAGTCTAGCTACAATATTGTGGTCAACCCCTTTCTTCCATGTGAACCTCCCACCCAGCAGTTGTAGGTCGACTAATTCCATATTATTGATGAATTCTGAAAATTCTAGCATTGACCTGGTGAATCTGTTGCAATTCTTCTTCTCTGATGGATATCTTATTGTGTTGAAATCCCCGCATACCACCCAAGGCCCATTGAACAGACCTCCAGCAGCACCTACCTCCGACCAAACTTCTTCTCTCTCCCTTCTATCATTAGGAGCACAAATGCTAGACATAACTCGACTAATTCCATATTATTGATGAATTCTTAAAATTCTAGCATTGACCTGGTGAATGTGTTGCAATTCTTCTTCTCTGATGGATATCTTATTGTGTTGAAATCCCCGCATACCACCCAAGGCCCATTGAACAGACCTCTAGCAGCACCTACCTCCGACCAAACTTCTTCTCTTTCCCTTCTATCATTAGGAGCATAAATGCTAGACTTATGCCAAATGTACTCTTGTGATTTTCCATCTAACTTGATTGTTATGGAAAAAAAACCACACTACTGACCTCCCCTTCCCATACTCTGTTGTCCCACATAATGAGAATACCACCTCTAGTGCCACTAGCTTCTAATTGAGCAAACTTTACCCACCTATTAGCCCATAAGTCTTTAACAATCTCTCTTATTTCTCGTTCTATTTTGGATTCTTGAAAACAGTAGATATCTGCCTTCCAACTGTCAATCATATTTTTTATCAACTCCCTCTTTCTATGTCTATTAAGTCCCCTAACATTCCAAGAAATAATTTTGATCATCATTTATTATCTAGAGCTATATACCCCCCTGCTTCTTGTGCCATTACTTTTGAAGTTGCAAACTCAAGTTTCCAGAAGAGGCAGGAGCACTTGATTACCTTCCAAAGTACGTTGGCCAAGACCCAAATTGATTATCTTCTCCCCAGGAAGTGTGATAGAGGTCTATGCGCGGATTGCAAGATTATCCCAAGTGAGAACCTCACGACCCAGCATAGGCTCTTCGATGGACTTAGAGATCATGCTGAAGAGGAAGAAGAGGATGGTGTGAGGTTGATGGAAGATCAGGTGAGGAGTCTTGACTAAGGACAAAGCCCAAGAGTTGGGGAGAAGTTGTTGGCTATGAGGGCCTGGAAGAGTAGTGGAGACGCGGACGGTATGTGGACCATGACGGCTAACTGCATTAGGGAAGCTGTGAGAGAGGTGTTAGGAGTCTCGAACGGTTACCCTTGCAATAGGGGACGGGTGGTGAAATGAAGAGATCCAAGGAAAAGTGAAAACCAAGCAAGCAGCGTATTTGAAGTTAATGGAGAGCACAGACGAGGAGGAGAAGAAGACGAACAAAGAGTGGTACAAGAAGGCTAAGAAGGAGGCGAAGTTAGCGGTCCGAAGGCTAAGACTGCAGCTTTTAGTTGTTTGTACGAGGAAACAACTGGGGTCAAAGGCGAGGACAAGAAGCTATTCAGGCTAACCAAGGTCACAGAACGGAAGGCTCGTGATCTGGACCAAGTGAGTTGTATCAAAGACGAGGAAGACAAAGTTTAATTGGAAGAAGCACAGATTAAACGAAGATAGCAGACATACTTTCATAAACTTCTGAATGAGGAGGGAGGTATGAACATTGTGTTGGGTGATTTGGAGCACTCTTAAAGTCGTCGAGACTTTGGGTATTGTAGGCGCATAAATATTGAGGAGGTCGTGGGGGTTATATGTAAGATGAGTAAGGGCAGAGCGACCGGGCTAGATGAGATTCTAGTGGAATTTTGTAGGTACGTGTGTAGGGCAGGCTTGGAGTGGCTGACCGGGTTGTTTAAAGCCATTTTTAGAACGAAGAAGATGCCTGAATAATGGAGGTGGAATACGATGATTCCGTTGTACAAGAACAAAGGTGATATCCAAAATGGTAACAACTATAGGGGTATTAATTTCTTAGCCATACTATGAAAATTTGGGATAGGATGGTGGATGTGAGGGTAAGGAGTACTGTGTCTATTTCTGAGAACCAATTCGGATTCATGTTGGGACGTTCGACTACGGAAGCGATACCTTGTTAGGAGGTTGGTGGAATAGTACAAGAAAAGGAAGAAGGATTTGCATATGGTGTTTATTAACCTAGAGAAAGCACACGACAAGGTCCCAAGGGAGGTTCTTTAGAGATGTTAAGAGGCTAAAGGCGTTCTTGTAGCATACACTAGGTGATTAAGGACATGTATGATGGAGCTAAGACTCCGGTGAGGATAATGGGAGGAGACTCGGATCATTTTTCGGTTGTGATGAGGTTACACCAAGGATCTATGCTAAGCCTTTTTTATTTGCCTTGGATGGACGCACTGACACGTCATATTCAAGGGGAGGTGTCATGGTGTACGTTATTCGCAGATGACATAGTTCTGATTGACGAGACGCGGGACGGTATTAACGAGAAGCTAGAGGTTTGGAGACAGACCCTGGAGTATAAAGGTTTCAAGTTGAGCAAGGACCAAAACAGAATACTTGGAGTGCAAATTCAGCAACGTGACAGAGGAAGCGGACATAGACGTGAAGCATGACTCATAAGTCATCCCTAAGAGAGGAAGTTACAACTATCTCGGGACAGTTATCCAAGGAAATGGGGAGATTAACAAGGATATCACACATCGTATTAGGGAAAGATGGATGAAATGGAGGCTAGCATCCGGCGTTATGTGATAAGAAATGTGCCACCGAAATTTAAAGGTAAGTTCTATAGAGTGGTGGTCAGACCGATTATGTTGTATGGGACAGAGTGCTAGCTAGAGAAGAACTCCCATATACAGAAGATAAAAGTAGCAGAAGTGATGATGTTGAGATGGATATGCAGGCATAACTAGGTTAGATAAGATTAGGAATGACAATATCCGGGTAAAGGTGGGTGTGATCCCTGTGGAGGACAAGATGCGGGAAGCGATGCTTAGATAGTTCAAGCATATGAGGAGGAGAAGCTCAAATGCCCCAATAAGGAGGTGTGAGCGGTTGGCTTTGGTGGGTATGAGAAGAGATAGAGGGAGGCCAAAGAAGTATTGGGGAGAGATGATCAGGGAGGACATGACGCAGCTTCAACTTACCGAGGATATAGCCCTTGATAGGTGGGTATGGAAGTCGAGAATTAGGGTAGAAGGTTAGTAGGAAATTTAGCGTATTTATGTGTCGTACTGGAGGTTTTAGAGTTAGTCTAGTAGTATTCTTGTTCTTAGATTGTTAGTATTACATGTTGTTTTCCTACTATCTTTCACTTGGGTTTTCTAGTATCTTGTTGTTGTTACTACTTATTGTTGCCGCTTCCTTCAATCTAATTTTCTAGGTCTTAGATTGTTGTTATTATCTTTCTGGCCTTTGTTGTTGATATTGCTTGTTTCTATTGTTTCTTTTCATCTTTCTTGAGCCGAATATTTCTGGGAAAATAGCCTCTCTACCTTTCCAAGGTAAGGTGTACGTAGTATGTACGCTCTATCCTCCCCAGACCTCACTTATAGGATTCCACTGGATTTTCTGTTGTTGTTGTTGGCAATGTAAATAACTCATAGATCAAAAACAAAAAAGCACATTTTATACTTAACCCCGGTATTACCCCCAGTATTACAAAGATAAATGCTAACTCTATTTAACTTTAACTTGTCCACGTACAGAAAAAATGAAAAAGCGATGAGTAAAGAATTTATGTTCTATGCATTGGCAGTGTAAAAAATATTAACAATCAGGTCACTTATTAAATAATCAGGTAATTACAGGTAAATGTAAATCTCTTGATAAACTTTTAATTGGTAATCTGGTAAAAATGATATGCAGTGTGCTATTACAGGTTAAATTAACAGAGTGTACAAAATATCAGCGTATCAAATTAGGGGCAAAAAAGAACCTATAACATGTCTGTCACCTTCTCCATAAGTTCAGACTACTGAACAACAATTATCTAAAATAGATTAAGCAAAATTAAGCAAGCATAACAAACCATCATAGGAGTAGTATTTTTCTCCAACAAGTTGTGAAGTGGAAACATAATAATTCAGCGAAGCAAAAACCCAAACACCAAGCAGACACCAAAAACTCAATAGATATACCTTTATCTGGTAGCACCTGAAACAATGCAAACCTTCAGCACCACTGGCCCAATTCTCAGGCTATGAGCTTTATTCCTCTAGTCTCGTGAACCCAATAGAGAAAAGAATGGATTTTTTAACACAAATGTAGAGGAATAGATAGAGAAGATGACGTATGGTGATTGCATCTTGGGCTGAGCTTGTCCATTTTAATTGCTTTGGTCTGGGCTTAAGTAACAATCATGGTCGGGGATTGAGCCCAGTAAAATACGGGTTATATAATCGCTCTTAAAATAATAGCCAAAAAAATATATTTTTTATATATGTATATTCTTTATGTTATATACAAAAATTATTTTATATACTATTTCGATTATCGAATATAAATAATTTATGGCATAGGTCAAAAGTGATAATAGCCCGGTAAATAATGGACTAGTTTTAAACCCCACAATAGATTGCGGATACATGTAATTTGCAAGTACAAACTCGATACATTTGTATATTGAATTACTTGAAATTAAATTGGAATAACGTTTCAATATCAGTGGAAAACTTTTAAAGTAAATAGAAGCAAAATAATATGTTTGCACAGAAACTTTGTTCATTAAACCAAACTGACAATGGGTTTTCTGTGCTTTAGGCATCACGTATCCAGAGTAATTCAGACGCGCGGCAACTAAGATCCCACTTGCTTAACTAATTTTAGTTTTATACTAGTTAAATTACCCACGCTTTGTTCGGTCAGACATCAATACATTACAAAGTATTTTTTTTAAAACAAATTTAGTTGAGATAAAAAAGATAGTGCAATAGAAAATTAAATCCAAATAAAAATCATCACACAGTAATTTAATAATGACATGATTATCAAGGTATAATTTTCTCAATTGGGAAGAGAAGTCCATGCTCATCATGTTGTAGAGAGGGAAAACAAAAGTAACCTAAGACTTTGAATCCTGTTAAACGTTGTTTATAAATAATATAAGTTATTTTAGATACTATTTATTAGTGATAATTGCACACAGTAGTTAAAGTGAACTTTTCATGTCCGATGAAGCAACTTACTCGTTGTTGCAATGTAAAAGACATTATGTAGCAAATATTTTTGTTGTGAGGCCATGCATGAGTTCCTTTACATGGCATTAACATACTCCTATAAAACTTGTCCAAAAAAAATTATTACTGTCGAAAATAAATAATTTAGTGTAATAGAGATATTATATTTACACTTAATCGACCCTTTAGATCGTATTAGAGTGAGTCAAATTTTATTTGCGTCAAGCCTTATTTCACTTGGCTAACGCGCAAATCCCGTGAATTTTGTAAATTATCTCATAGTCACAAACAATACAAAATAATAGAGTTACAACCACATATTAGTTATTTTTCTATTACAAAATATTCAATGATATCATTTTCCCTTAGTGAATTTCTTTGAGACAACCAAAGAAGAAATCCAACATCACCAAAGCTTAGATAAAGAGATTACTGTTCACTGCGTTTAAAAAATAATATTCAAAAACAGAGAAGGGAAACCTTTGTTAGTAGTATCTTAAGAAATTTGCATTTGATTGCACACAGTTGTTGTCAACCGACTACAACAGTTGCGAGTTTTAGGATGCAGAGTACGGATGCGGGCGTCTTAACCGTCCTTCACAACTTTGATCTTTTCAAAAAATTTGTTAATGAGTTAAAATAAAAAAATAAAAATAAAATTAAAAAACACAAACATAGGAAACAAATAATAAATTGATGGAATGCACAACACAAATATGGGTCACTTGTGCCATGAATAATAGAATCAAATGAGAGTTTTTTTTGTTGAGGGTCTACGAGAAATAGTCTTTCTGCTTTCTTGAAGGTAGGAGTAAGGTCTGCGTACATATCATCTTCACATACTCCACTTGTGAGATTACACTGAGTTTTTTATTGTTGTTGCCTTAAGTGCATTTTGATTTCCTTCTTTCTCCTCCAGATCACCTGTCACCTCCCCCATAACTTCTGCATAGTTGCCATATTCAGCCATTTTAAATACATTTTTTGTTATTTCTCTTCTTCTTTCCCTTTTTATATTTCTCTTTATTTCCACATCCTAATTTCTATCTAAAACCAGTAAAATCTTCTTTATGCTACAAAATATTCTGCAAAATCCCACAATTCTATCTCCTTCTTTTAATAATTAATTTATCATTTAAGTACTCTCATAACTCTTCTTGTAAATTTGTCACAGACAGCACCAGAAAGGAGAGAGCAAACCGTCTAAAAAGTAAAAATTTGTTGGTTAGTCCAGATTTTTTGGCAACAACATAATTACAGCAAAGACCATGTAGAAATCTAGATGCAGAGGAAAGGACGTACCGAAAGAATATCATAAGAGAAAATGCCCAAACAAATTTTCTTCTTTTAGTTACCTCCCTTTTCGATAACTTTTTTCTTTCTTCCAGGACAAACAAAATTCTCTTGTTTCTTCATTTGGGGAGGATCCGTTGAAATCAAATATGGCCAGAAAAGCCATAGGCGGCAATTGTGTTTTCGACTATATATATATATATATATATATATATATATATATATATATATATATTATGATTTGATTCACTTCACATCTTTCATGGATTATTGCATATCTCTGTTGGTGCCATATATATAAGTCAGGTGATTGCTACAGACATTAAAATTCCTCCTCCAAGCTAAGGAATATGAAAGGTTTAAGAAGTAATAGCAATTCTTGGGATTTAATTAACATTAAATTCATTATAATCGTTACTGTAGTAACTTGAATATGAAAGGTTTTAAAAGTAACAACATGGGATTTAATTAACATTAAATTCATTGTAATCGTTACTGTAGCAACTTTTCTAAAAGAAGTAACTGTTGAATTTTCTAATAGAGCCATGTGTGAGCACGTGATTTTTCCCTCATACGAATTACTCCAAAAGAATTCCCAAAATTAGGTCTTTTCTTTAATTATGTGTTATTTTTAGGAATTATTGTGCGATTTTCCTGTTTGTTTGTATATGTTTATGTGCATGTTTAATTTTATTAATGCATTAAAAATACATAAAAAAATATAGCATTTGCATTTAAGATTTGATTTTTACATTTTTGGAATTAATTAATAATTAGGTGTTTTACAAAAATGAAAATTCACAAAAAATAACATATTTTTGTATTTTGGTCAAATTGTGTGATTTTCTTTTAATTTAGTGTTTAATTTTTTGTGATAGGTATTATTTAAAGTTAATTAATATTTTTAAGCTAATTTAGGTCTTGTATAATTTAATTAGGATTTTGATTTCAATTTTTGAAAGAAAAAGGAAGAAAAGAAAAGGAGAAGAATTAAATAAAAGAGAATAAGAAATCCATTTGGGGCCACATTTAATTAAAAATTCCAGGCCCAAGTCGTTTTACCCCAGTCCAGCCCAAAACCCAGCCAAACCCAGCCAAAAACCAGCTCAGACCCGTCCCAACCCGGTCCGCCCCCTTTACAATTCAAACGACATCGTGTTACCACCCATTCATCTGAGTCGTTGATTTGATTTCATCCAACGGCTAAGATTTTGCCCCTTACCCGCCTCACCTGAATCTGACCCGTTTCATCTGAGACCGATTCGGTCTCTNACTTCTCGAATCTTCAATCGAAGATGTCCGGTCCCAAAATCCCCGAACCCTAGCTCACCCAATCGGCCCCAAATTCACACCGTAGAACCACCACAACTCCCTCTTCCCTAATCCATAACCAGTTTCCTTCGAATGGGGTTCGATCTGCTTGAATCTTAAATCCAAGGGTCCGAGTTCTAAAGTCAAACCTAACTGGAGAATTGATGATAATTTTAGAATCGGTTTCATCACGAAATGATATTAATCACTTGTTTTAACAAAGAACAAGTGACTAACATCATTTGGCGATGAAATCAAAAAGAAGAAAATTTGATACCAAGTTGTCCAGTTGAGCCGGTAAGTTTTCTTGATTATTATTTCTTTTTTTTAGTATTTGTTTTAATTATCTGGTTGTTGGTCCACTAACTCAGTCAGTTTAATTAAATCTTTTTATTAAATTTGTTTGAATTTGTTTAGTAACAAGTCCAGTTAATTTGGTGTTGATTGTTTTAAAGGTCGAATCACAAATGAGTTCATTCGTTGGTTATTTCTTGCTTGTTTCAATTCTAATCACTCATGTATGGGGTATTTTCTGATTTCTTTTCAATGTTAAACCTTTATATAATCAGAAATTGATGTTGTTTGGTTTTGGCTGCTTGATGATTTTGTTTTATAGAATTGTTTGTGCAAGTTTGCAAATAATCAGAATTTTCAGTAGTTCTGATCAAATAAGTAGGATTTCAGAGTATAGCTTGAGCATTGTTTAATAAAAAGGGGTATTCACCTAACTTAAGAAGATTCTAATAGTGGTAGGGTTAGAAGTGCATTAATTGAGTAAGTGGAATCATTTTAAAATGTTGAAAGGTCATTTTGTGAATCCAAGGGGCATTTTCAGTTGCATATTTAAGAGATCTTAAGACTGAAAAACAGGGGGGGAAAGGATACAAAAGAGAGAGAGAGAGAGAGAGGAGAGATTCTGAAATACTGGAAAAAAATAGATTTTTATTGTTCCATTAAAATTTCCTAGATTTTGAGGCTTTTCATTTGTGAAACAATTCCTGAATAATCATAGGTTAAAATGATTTGAATGTGCTGGTTTTTAAGTGTTTGGTTCAAGTTCTGACTATTTTTGATTACTAAGTATCAGTTGATCCTTCTACTGGGCTGAATTTGGCTAAAAAACTGGTTTCCTTTAGTTTATTTTTACTGCTGAGTCCTGTTGATGCTACAGCTGCACCTTACCCCTCTTTACTCTCATTTCCAGGTATTCATCTCACCTTCTAATGTGTGAAAAGGGGATGGACATGAAGTTTGGTGTACTCAAGTTGATGTTTGTAATAATTTAATTGTATGCTTGATGTTTCTGCATTTTTAAAAGTCATCTGATTCAATTTAATTTTCCTATGTCTCCTACGGTTCTATTTTGAATAAGGAATGATGTGTTAGTAATAATTTGTAATTCATTATGTTGGTTGCTAAATGTGTATGAAAGGTCATGATAAATGTTGGTTAAGATCTGAAAGTTATATGTATTTTCAAGGCTGAATAGCTAGTTCATTTGTTGATCAATGTGTAAG